ATGCATAGTCAACACAGTGCCCCCATATTGCGGTGGCGCTGGTCCCGATTTGCAGTTTTTAGAAGGCTTCCTGGTGGTGGAAGGAAGGTTTCGCACCTAGATGTGCTTGGAGAGAGAAAAGTCCTTCCGTTTCCGCTTCACCCCGTTTAGCGCATTTTTGGATCGCCCTTGGGTTGGGGACGGAGATTGAGTGTGCCAAGTGATGTCAGGTTCAACCACTATCAACCGTAGGTGGACGGATCCTGTGAGGCATCTACTTCAAGGGTGGGGAAGGGGCTCTTGCGATACGAATTTTTTCCAAGTTGATAATGGGTCGATTTGACCCCGTCTTAAATCCATTGAACAGACACGTCTGATTCCTTCCTTTGCGCACAGGTTTCAGATGCGGATGCGGAACTTGGCCATCATACGTGCTCTGTGCTTTTCTTTGTCTGGAATTCTGTGATGCATTTCGCAAACAAGGAGTGGCAGTACGAGGTATTCTGAAGTGTGGCACCGAGCCTGCCGCCAATAGTAAAGTTCGTATAGTTGACATCGACTATGGTGAGTTGATCTGCATGTGTTACTGCTTACAAAAATCGTGTAGTATGAAAATCTCAGAGGTTTTGTACAGGCTCTTGCAAAGGAATTTTTTAGAGAATCATGTACAAAAACCGCATAATTCTAGCTTGAAGGCGGCGCTTAAAAAGAACATTGAAAAGTCAGCCCATCAGAAATTCAGGAGGGGTGGTCTGTGAAGAAGAGAGGAAGATAAAAACGAAATACGAAAAGCCATGAACCCGAGAAACTGGACCTGTTCTTTGCCTCTTGATGTGAGGCTCATCGGTACCCCCATAACCGCCAACGCTTTCTCTTCTGAAGGGCTTGAATCAGACGGCGAGGGACTACTCAGCGGTGGGCGTGCAGTGGCGCAAGCGGCGCGGGTATGGCTCTACTATTCGAGGGCATGTCAACTGCAGGGCGCTCAGCGTTTTGTAGTGTTATATGGTACTCTCGCACATGCACACTATTATAGCCGGTTCGTGTTGGGTTGAAAAAGGGGGGATCGTATTCGGAATGTTTTAGTGTTACGTGAGGGGTTGATGAATGACAGTTGTTTGGGCGCCAAATTTATTCTGCGCGCTAAATTTTGCGTTTCACGGTGGGTATATCCCCCTCGACGGCAATTTTGGAGGAAAAAAGTGGGCGGAGTTTGGGCTGTGTCGACTGGTCTCAGAATCGAATACTATAGAATGAGCCCCATGATGGCGATGGCAGGCGAGGGTGGTGAAGGGTTGACCCTGAGGGGGGGTCGTATCGAGGCCCTCTAGAAGGGGGAGGGGGTCGTAAAATTTTCGAAATCGGTCCAACGTGACGGTTGACCCTGCTTTCGTAGGAAGTACTGCTA